CATACATACATACATACATACATACATACATACATACATACATACATACATACAGTATTTAGGCAAAACAAATCTTACCACACTAATCAGTGGTGTGGGTTTGCCAAATTTAAACTCCACAGTTTGAATAAAAAGTATTTTGAAAAGACCAGTCTAATCTTATTTATCTTGTTCTTTCATGGATTATATCACAAGCTGTTCATATCAGTTATGCTTTCTTTCTATTTCATTTAGATAGTTTAAAAATGCCTGTTTGACTGTTTTACTCTAATCCAATGTCTTTTTAGAAGTTGTGGCCACAAGAAATGCTCAAACACATACTGTATCTTCTTCTTTTTTTTGTAAGGAATCTCTGTGATATCTGTCCTAAAGGAGATAATAAAATAAACATTTTCTTTCCATTTTAAATTAAACAGCTCTTACTGAAGCTGACACATTGATGTTTTATTTTTTTCTTCTGATTTTACTTACTATGTGAGAAAGCTGGCTGAAAAAACAAAATACTGTTCAAGCAGAGCCATTCTTTATGTGTGAGACTGTGCGACACAGCTGTGGTGCAGCGGAAGAGATTAGATTAGGAGAATATTTGTGGATATAGAGAGGGCAAGTCCTCTCATACCAATCTAATAAATTTTTGTTGAACCAGACACCGCCAAGAAAAAACAGAAGTGGGGATTCTAAATACAAATTTAGTATCTTTGTTGTTTGATTTTATCTTAGAAATAAAGTTGAATTTATGAGTTTGGAAGCTGCCTTTTCCATTTTCTATTATCCCAGATTGGTCAAGCGTGAAAAATGTACATTGAAAATTGGATAAAATGACTTGATTCTGGACATTTTGTTTATTGTTGAGCATGCAAGTGTTAATCATATCATCCCATACAAGTTTAACTACACGTCCTGTTATAATAAAACACCCCCATTGTTCTCCGCCCTCCTTATGAGATCTTTAAAGATTACATTAAGATTAAAAAAATCATTCTGCCTCCCCGAGGCTAAAATAAATTAAAACGATTTTCATTTTTGTATCCTTTTCTTGAGAGGCTAGACTCGGTTGTTTCCCCACATTTCAATCCGCCCTATTCTGTCCATCACCCATTTGTTGTCTAACTTCTTGTTGTTTTTCCTCTTCCTCTTCTTACCCACAGCACTGATGCATGCCTTGGTCTTTGGCAATGTGACAGCCATTATCCAGAGGATGTACTCCCGCTGGTCTCAGTACCACACCAGGACCAAAGACCTGAAGGATTTCATACGTGTCCATCACTTGCCGCAGAGCCTGAAGCAGCGAATGCTTGAATACTTTCAGACAACCTGGTCGGTCAACAACGGCATTGACTGTAATGAGGTAGATTGACAACAACAGTCTGAATCCCATTTCATAGTGTGACTCTTACCCACAGATTCCAAATGTACCCTTGGCTCTAGTTCTGGATTAATGAATGGTAAACCATACAACTGTACACATATCCCTTCTCGAAGTACATATATCACAGATGCAACATACTGTAGTTTTACTGGCGTTTCAGTATCCAGTAAACATGAAAAGTCAAGATATACACTTTATTGATGTTTATTGATGTGGCAAAACCTAATTTATCCAGTCTTTTACCATTTTTATGTTTTTGCACAAATTATCTCTACTGATGAACATCTGTCTGATTCTTTGAACGTCTTCAAAGAAAAGATCAAAAGCAGCTTATGACTTAACCTTGCAGCACCATTTGCATCAAACAAGATGGTGTAAAAAGTCATACTCCTTCAATACGGGGAAGTGTTAGTGCTGAGGCTAGAGAATGCCAACTTGTGTAAGGTAGCCGGTTCAATCCCCTGGACTGGCAACATCAAAACATGTTAGTGGGAAAGGTGAAGCACCCGCACCTGCCTTCACCCTCACTTGCCCCATTCTGGGCCCTTGAGCAAGGCCCTTAACCCCACCATCTGCTCTCCTGAGCACCCTAGATGGCATCTCTCTGCTCCACACAGAGGGCTGTGGTAGCTCGGTGGTCCGTGGTTAAGTTGGGAAGAGCATCCAGCGTAAAAACAATTGCCAAGTCTTCATTCAATTCAATTCCATTTATTTATATAGTACAAAGTCACAACAGAAGTCGTCTCAGGGCACTGAACGGAAACATTCATATATAAAAATAGTAAGTTAACATTATTTATCTGAGGAGCAGACTGCTTTGAATTTAACTCCATCACAGAACTCTCATCTTGAGCAAGCATGAAGGCGACAGTGGAAAGGAAAAACTCGCTCACGAGGAAGAAACCTTTAGCAGAACCAGGCTCAGGACGAGCGGCCATCTGCTTTCATACGAGTTCGCTCTGCTGACCCCTAAAGAAGGGAGCAGCCAAACAAAAAAACACACAAAAAAAACTTTTTAAATACAGAGCCATATACAGACAGTTTAAAAAAAAAATAATAATAATTAAGTCAGAGAGTCAGAGTCAGAGTTTCTTTATTGTCATTCGTACCGCATGTGGTACACGTGGTGGAGCGAAATTATGTACACAGGGTCCCAGTTACATCCAACAATAAAATGTAAAAGAAAAACAGTAATAACATCTAACATGTCTAGTTACATGTCATGTTAACATGTCTATATTATGAATTTCTGTTACATGTTTGAATATATGGCCATAAACACATAATAAAATACAAACTCTTACCACACAAAGTTTATTTTAATTTTTTTAATTTATGGAAACGTTAAATTTTTGATAGGTTAAGCAGGTAATTTTAATTTATCTATGTATGTATGCATGCATGCCGCTTATAATCTTTCTTTTGAGGTATGAATCTGAGAAGAAATGCACGTTCAAAGGGTCACATACTCCTTTTACTTTGCCCTCCACTTCTTTGTCAAAACTTTTGGGATACTCCTCCTGATGATGTGAACACACAAAACCTGAGGGTAGGGACAAGAGGGAAACTAATACCCTCCACTTGTTTACATTATTATTGTCAGTATCTTCAAGAAGTCAACGCATACAGCAATTTATTAAAGGATTTTAAATGTGGCTTGTCAAGTTCATCAAGAAAACAAAAAGCCTGTGTTTACAATATTAGAAACTACTCAACATGTCAATGTTATTTTTTGTTTGTTTGTTTCTAAGTAACGTTTTAATTTTAAACTCTGCTCAGTATTTTACATTTGTGTCAGTTTCACTTTTCTTGCTGTCTGTGTAAATTGTTAGGGCTTATTATGGCTTTATGTTAACTTCCTGTATTAATATTCACATCTGGATTCAGTTTTCTGGTCTCCACGCATGTTGCTAATTCCTCATCCCCTCCATCAGGAAATATTCTTCTCAATTTTACTCATGAAATGTCGAATCGTTGTCCTTACTCCTGGTTTCTGGTTCTTGTGTTGTTCTCACATCTGGATTTCTGTTTTGACTTGGACGTTTGAGACTCAAATGTACAAATCTGAGACAAGTACAAACAAATTTTTGTTGTCAAATGTAGAATTTCAGAGGATACACCCCCCCACAAAAGCAATAAACACCACCTTTCCTTGACAGGCGCAGGGAAACCTGTCACTTATTTAATAGTAACTCGTCTCTCTGGGCTGTGCATGCCCTTGAGACAGCTGTCAGAATCCAGACCAGGATTTAGATGGAGTGATGATGAAGATGATGGTTATGATGAATCTGAGGCAGATGAATAATAGATGGGCCAGCTGACTTAAGTCAGCCCAGATCCTATAACTTCATGAGAAAATCTACATGGCAAGAGGGATGCCTAATTTTATTTTTACTATGACAAAAAAACAAAAGAGTTACTGTAATAATAATAATAATAATAATAATAATAATAATAATAATAATAATAATAATAATAA